CTGTTGTGAGATCATTCCTTCAGTGTGGACCTGTGCCTGGGCCAAGGGGGTGGGTCTTGAGATGAAAAGACCAGCGGGTCAACAGGCTGTCAGAGCAGAGTATCAGCCAAGAACATGTACTGTGAGTAGGACCGGCAGTGACCAGCCCTGCTGGGGACCGGGCAGAGTGAACCAGGCAGCAAGAGGGAAGATGGAGCCTGTGCAGAGGGCACCTGAGAGAGAAGGCAAAAGGGGTTCTTTCTGAGTGCCTGGGAGTGTGGAGCAGCAGCCTTCAGAGAGCCAATGGAGTAGAAATTGGATAATGGTTAAGGGGAGACTTGAGCTAGTTAGAAGGCTGAGGAGCAGGAGGTGATGACCAGCAAAGGCCAGAGATATACAGGCCAGGGAAGGGGCTTCCTAGGGATCAGGTGGAGAGAATGGGATTCCTGAAGTGGGGGATGGGTGGGAGGGAGGCCCTGTTCCTGTGATTTAGTTGAAAGATGCTTTTTGAATGGTCTTCACCGTGGCAGATCAGGGAGTGACACAGTCAGCGGACAAGGCTGCAACCCCTGCGCCCTGTTTCCAGTCTTGTAGGAGATGGACCAGACACCAGACCACATGCCAAGGGTGCCTCTGGGACAGTGGACCAGGGGAGACTTCCTGGAGGAGGTGACTTGGAAATGGTGGGGGTCTAGGCAGGGAAGGCAAGATGGGAAGGGCAAGGAGGTTGACCACAAAGCTGGCACGGGCTAATGATAAACTGTCAGCTGCCCTGGATAGTGAGAGGACCCAGACTTTGTTCCCTGGGTCATCCTAGCTGGAGAAATGGATGTGTCTGAGACCCCAGGGGGCAGATCCAGGGGTGTGTGTGTGCAGGAAGGGACAGGGACAGGGACAGGAAGTGGTCATTTAAGCCATGGACACCCAGACCATCAGGAGGCTGGTGCAGTGCAGGGAGCGACCAGGGCTTTGTTCTGCAGGTGGGACAGAGGACAGGCTCCTCCCAGCCCCTCCTGGTCTCCTTCTGGGCCCCAGTTGACTCCTAGGGCCCAGTACCACCCACCACATTGTTCCCTGGCCTCCCAGTGGCCCAGAAGGCAGCCCCATAAATGGGTCTGCTTGTTTGCTGAGGGGAGGTTATGTGGATGTGCCAGTGTGTGTTTAGGGGAGTGATTCTAGAAACTGTGAACTGTTTATATGGGTCCCAGTATGCACCTGGATGTTCCCTGGGAATATTGGGCCTCTCAGTGGCCCTGACCACCCATCCCTCCTCTCCTTCAGGCTGAGAACATATAGGATGATAGAGGTTGGAGGGGAGGAGAGACCAGGCACAGTGCCTGTGGAATTCGGAGCCCAAAGACATTCTCTTCAAAAAATCAGGGCCTTCCAGGGTAAAGCTCAGACTTGTCCCAAACCTTCAGCTGGGTACCCTGGCCTGGACTCACCTCCACCCTGTGGTTAGGCCTGGAAGTGCAACCCCCATCTCTGATTTTTCCTAGTTCTTCCAGGTGTGCAGGGCTCTTGGCTTTCCTGACAGCTGCCATGGGAAGACCTGGGTGGGGGTGAGGGCAGGAGACCTGGGCTCTAGCCTGGCTCTTCCCTAACTCACTAATGTGACTGAGTCTCAGTTTCCTCACCTTAGTATGCCACACAGAGTGGTTGTCCTCGTGGGGAAACGACATCGCAGTCCCACTGAAAGCTCCTGGAACAGGTGACAAACTGGACTGTCAGACCCGGGCAGGAGATTTGCTGACCAGCACTGGGGACGAACCAGCCTGAGGATTTTTCCGACCGCAGAACAGGCCTTGGAGAGTGGGGCCAACAGCGACGAGCAGAGGAGCGGATGGGGGATGGCCACATCCGGGAGGAGTGGGTGAGTCTGAGGAGCCAGGAGTGGCTGGAGAGGGGGTGGGTGGGGCATGGGGCAAGACAGCATACAGGGAGGCCTTCGGGGCTGATGGCGATGGCCTCAAACCCCAGGCTGAGCACCGTAGGGAGCTCGGAAGGGTTATGAGAGGGGTGGGTGTGGTCAGGTGGGTACCCAAAGATCACTCTGGCTGCTTGTAAGAGGATGGATTGGAGCACTGACCAAGGCCAGACACCAGTGAGGAAGTGAGATATGGTGGGTCCAAAACTGAGGGATGGGGTAGATCACTTTTTAAAAAAATATGTATTGGCTGCCCCAGGTCTTAGCTGTGGCATGTGGACGTTTGGTTGTGGCTTGTGAGATCTAGCTCCCTGATCAGGGATCGAATCCACACACTCTGCATTAGGAGGGGAAACCTTAACCACTGGACCACCAGGGAACTACCCCAGTGATGACTATTCTCATCATGGCCATGGAGAGGCCTCCTACAAGAGGGGAGCCACGGGGTCCAAAACGCTGATGAAAGTAAAAGTCGCTCAGTATGTCCGACTCTTTTCGACCCCATGGACTGTAGAGTCCATGGAATTCTCCAGGCCAGAATACTGGAGTGGGTAGCCTTTCCCTTCTCCAGGCGATCTTCCCAACCCAGGGATCGAACCCAGGTCACCCGCATTGCAGATGGATTCGTTACCACCTGAGCCAGAAGGGAAGCCAAAAAGCTGGTACCAGTGCCCAAGGCTAAGGGGCACCAGGACACTGGCCCGTGTCACAGGGACTCCTGTGAGTGCCCACCTGGGACTTGAGCCCCATGAGGAGGAGCACCGGCCCCCAGGACCAGACTTTGGCCTCCCTGGGCCCCGTGAAACAGGCAGGACGTCCTCAGGGGCTGCTGATCTTCGGCTCCCAAACACCCTGTTCTTTCCAAGCGGGAGCTGGAGGACCCACCAAGGAGACTGACCCACATCCTGAACTGTAGCCCCTCACTCTTCAATTCAACCCTCTCGGTGTAGCACTGGTGGTGTCCTGGCGAGCACAGCTGCCTTCCCAATCAACCCTCCCTCCAGCCCTCCAGCCCTCCTCCACACTCAGAGTTCCTCCCCCTATTTTCCTACTCAGACCCCTGCAGAAAAGGTAGCAAAGTCAGCTGGTGAGAAAGAACACATCCAGATGCAGAAAATGTACATACAAGTCTTTTTTTTTTTTTTTTTAACTCAAGAAAGGGCTTTTACTGATTTTAACTCACTTCCTGGGAAGTTAATTTTTAAAACACTCTTATAGAGTTTATCCATCCCTTGTGCTACATTCAGAAACAATGATGCCAACCAAAACCCTCAGCAATGGGGTGAATATGGGCCCACCCCAAAGAAGCTGCATCCACCCCCAATGAAGCTGGGTCCACCCCAATGAAACTGGACCCACCCCAATGAAGCTGGGCCCCAGTGAAGCTAAGCCCACTGTGAGCCTGCAAGGTGGTGGTGGGGTGCCCTTGAAACCCCTGCCCTCCAGGTCCCAGCACACAGATGCTGAAGGAAAACATGCTGCTCTGTGAATGGCCTCCCATGAACTCCATAAAAGTGTTCTGAAGAACAGTACCAAATCATCATTTAAGCCCTGGGTTACAATGACTTAGTGCAAAGGAGCAGGGAGAAACATGGACCCAGAGACAACGGGCCGCATTCTGCTCAGAGCCTTAAATAAACAGAGAAAGTATATTACAGATGCATGTGCCAGTGCAAGACATGCTGTGTGCAGCAGATGGGCGCACACGGCGCGTGTGCGGAGGAGCGAGGTACACCCACAGGCACAGAGAACACGCGCGAGGCACTGTTCCTCCAGCCCCGCCTTCTTTCCTCTCGACAGAGCGCTCCTGCCACACGGACCCAGTGCGGGCGACTGAAACCCTTTGTTTGGCTCATGTATTCGGGTCAGGCATCCAAGTCCTGCTTTCCTTTCCTTCCGGAGGTCAGTCTCTTGAGCATTTGGTCAGTCCAAGGCCAAGCCGCCAGCCAGGCACTGATCCCAGAGAGAAGTCAGCTCCAGCTCTGAGCAGGCGCGATGACGACTGTCGGGGTGAGGCAGTAACGAAACGCCCACCTCTCCGTGAGCAGCTGCCCGCGTCCACACCCCACCAGGGTTAGGCCTCTAGCGCAGCCTCTAAGCTGGGCAGTTGGTCCTTCGGCCACTGGAATGTGAGGGCAGCTTCTGGGGCCAAATGGGGAGGCCGGTGCGGGACTGATGATCTGATTTCTCTGACTTCACCATCTGCAAGGCCACAGGCCTGTGAGCCCAGGGCCCTCGGTCAGTGTCAGCCCTGGTGTCTTTCTGCAGCCGCAGCTCCGGGGAGCCACCGCGGGAGAGAGGGAGGCGGGCAGGGAAGAGTGATGCTCTTGGTTCAGGCCTCTCTGCTCCAAGCCTCAACTTGGCCCCTTCTGCGGAGAGGGCTGAAACACGATCCAGGACGGTAAGTCCAATCCACTTGGTGGCCAAGGAATGGTGGGCACGCTGGGGACCACCCACAGCTCATTAGGTGTTCCCAAGCAGGGCTGTGTACCTGCCTCCCCCACTAAATGACAAAAGATAACGAGAAAGGAATCTGGATTCTCCAACAATGGCCCCAACCCCAGCGAGGCCCAGGACTACCCACCAAGGACTCAGAGCCTCCATGCCAGTGTTCTCCGCAAGACACGGGCTCCGACAGCGCCCCCCACCCCGCCCCGCCCCAAGGTGGGCAGCCGGAGCCCCTCCTCCCGCGTGCGGCCGCGGAGCCACGCCCACCTGGCCTCTTCAGGCTCCCCGCTCAGCTTCTCGGTTTCCTGCCTCCTGCCCCTGGGCCTTGCCGACCGGCCCGGCGGGGTTTCTAAGGCACCACGGGCACCGAGTTTCCCCAAAGGATGAGTCCCGCCAGGGAGAGCCAGGACGAAGAGGAAGGCCTTGTGGGGGCCCTACCCACCCACTACACCCCAGTGACACACATTCCGATCCTGTCCCTGGACACGTGCGCGCGGAGGTCATGCAGACGGGAGAGGAGGGCCGGGAGAGGGGCCACAGTCCTCAGCCCCCTGCCGGCAGGGGCGGCTGTTGGCATGAGGGCGGTGGGCCTTTGGAGGCGCAGGATGAGCGTGCTGCCGGGCGGCCCTGGGCGCATGCGGGGGGCTCAGGACGCAGCCTCGTCTTCTTGGACGCCGGGCAGCTCTGGGCTTTTGCCTCCTTCGCCAAACCCATCTTTCCTGTTCAGGGGACACCAGGGGCAGAGGGACCTCAGAGGTCAGAACATGCATGCAGGAGGACACTCTCATACACACTCATAGGCATTTTTATCCACATCTCTCAAATCCCCCAAGCTCATCTCAGTCTCGCCGCCCCTGCATTGTGGTCTCTTGCTGGTTCCCACCCATAGTCTCAGCCCACAACCCTCCATGGCTCCCTATTGCTTGGAAAGGAAGTCTGGACTTCCCACCCTGACTTCTGGAGCCTTGCCAGATCTGACCAGATATGGCCTGGCTCAGGCCCCATGGACCAGGATAGAGGGCTTTGGTTTTGCTTTTTTTTTTTTTTTCTTTGTTCACAGGACAGATTCTACTCATCAGTCTTGGGATTCTGTCCCATATTCAATAGATTCCTGTTATCATCCTGATATCATCCTCTCCCCAACCCCATGCCAGGGCCTTTAAAAAAAAAAAAAGATTAATAAGTGGGTTTTGATGTCTTTAAAAAGGATCCATCCCATTTTATTCTACTATAGAGTTATCCCAAAGCGTAAAGAACAGTCAGTCAAGGATAAATGTTGGGACTCTGATGAGGTAAAACCTGCTTTTCAAAACTAAACCTGTGACATGTGTGCATGCTAAGCTGTTTCAGTCATGTCCAACTCTTTGCAACCCCATGGACCATAGCCCACCAGGCTCCTCTGTCCATGAGCTTCTCCAGGCGAGAATACTGGAGTAGGTTGCCATGTCCTTCTCCAGGGGATCTTCCCTGCCCAGGGATTGAACCTGTGTCTCCTGCAGCTCCTGCATTGCAGGCAGATTCTTTACCACTGAGCCACTGGGGAAACCAGTGTCACAGAATTATTTAATTTTATAGCTAGGAAGTATTAAGCCCCATACTCTCACAGTCCAGATGAAGGAACCGACCTGTCTCCCCATTAACATGTCCATAAAAGAACAATGACTGCCTTGCTCGGTTGTACCCTTGGCATTCAGCCCTGTGCCCATCATTGACCTGGGCTGGATGTCATTGACCTTAGCCTGTGACTGGCCTGTTCTACCACCAGGGGGCGCTGAGTCATAGGCACTGAGCTAGAGACCAGATGTGGAGGTTTGTTCCTCTGGTCTTGGTTCTGCCTGCTGTCCAGACGTAATTAGTAATAGCTTTCTCTTTCACTCTCACAAGTGGCTCCATTTGGATGGTAGATATGTGGTCCCCTACACGAAACCCAGTGCCAGCATTGTGGCCTGCAGATCCAGAGGAGGCCAAGGACTCTGTCTCCCAGGCCTGGCCACTTCACAGGGAACAGGCAGTAAGCTTAGGACAGCCAAGGCCTCTCCCAGGCACCCCCCCAACCCTCCTTTGTCAAGAGGAGGGCACGAGGTTGGTATGGGGACCTCCCTGAGTGTGAGCAACCTCTTTCAGGGAGCAGACACCAGCTCGTCCACAGTGATGGGACTCAATATTCTGAAGAGCCCACTTACAAGAGGGTGGTCTTACATGAACAAAACCCACATCTGTGCCCCTGGATGGCACAAGCGAAACTGCCCCTTCCTGAGAGGCTGAGGTACCTGGACGGTGGCTGCTGCTCACCTCCCCGGGGAGCACGGCTTCCTGCAGCCTGTGAAGGGGCTGCGGGGAAGAGGGGCTGTGCCTCCCCACATGCTCTTCAGAGAAGGCGTGCTCCCCAAGGCCCAGGACCCCGACTGCCTTCTCCCTGTGGGCCTCTGCATAAACTCCAGCAGGGCTCGCCAGCACCCCAAACTGACTATTTCAGTGGAAGAAGGCCTAAGTGTTGAGGACAGGGCTCATGGAGGTTTGGGGAACTGCTTTCCGGCCCTCTCCCAGGAGGTGGTGAATGCACAGGCCTGGCTGTCAGGAGGGAGCCTGCAGCCATGGGAGTTTCTCCTTCCTGGCCCGTCGTCATCGGTCAGCCTGTCCTTACTTGCTGGATAAGCGTTTCCAAAGTGCTGACTGGGCACACGGCCTCAGCAATGACCAGAGATTGCACAGGCCACTCAGAAAAGCAGCGAACACTCCCCCAGACCAGGAGGAGGCAGTCCTTGCCTCCAAGACAAGCCAGCCTTCTACAAAGAGCAGACCCGAGGCCCGTCCGGAAGCCTCAACTAGGCTGCCAGGGACTGAGAATGCAGGTGCAGACGGGGCCCTGCTGTGAGGCCTGGCTGAGTCTCCAGGCTCGGGGCTCAGCCTGGTGATGCTCAGAGTGAGGGGATGTGCCAGAGCCCCTGCCCCCCCCCCCCCCAGGGAGCACCTGGCAGTCCTCAGCCCACCAGTACTTACGACAGTAAGCTTCCTGGGGCGGACATGGATCGCTCTTCCCTCCGTGCCTGGGGCTCGAATGGGTTGCCAAAGGAACGCTTTCTCAGCATGGACTTAACCAGGATCTAGGGAAGACACATCAGCATGAGGAACACAGGCCCCCAGGTTCCCAGATACATGGGCAGCCTCCACCCTGACTTCCAGACGGGGAGGCGGCTGGGTGGCCCTGCTGAGGTTCCCTTTCCTGGGGCAGGAGAAGGAGGAGCATCCCAAGCAGAGGAAAGGGTGGGAGCATGGAGGGAAGGTGGTTGAGGGTGGATTCTGGAAATGGTGAGGAGCCTGGTGCGTGGGGGAGGGACACTGAGGCCAGAAGCAGACCAGGAAGGGTCTGGAACACCAGGCGGAGGGCACAGGGAGTGCAGTGAGGAAATGCCTTCTGGCTACGCAGGAAGGATGGAGTGGAGGGGAGGCTGTCCTGGACTGGGCAGTGGTGTGGGGGGGGTGTTGACAGGGGACAGGCCCCTACCCCCGGCTCTGTGACTTTGTCCCTCCTCCCGCTATAAGGACAGCTCCATCGCCCCTGCCCATGTGCACACCAACTCTCACACATGTGCATAGCGCCAAGGGGGTGCCTTCATCTCTTCCTTCCTTCTTTCCATCAACAAGTGTTATATTGACTGCCTACATATGCCAGACATGATTCTAGGCACAGGGACCACACTGAGTCAAATATTCTTGCCCTCATGGAGCTTATAGTCTAGTTGTGGAGACAGGCAGTAAATAAGACAGATGAGTAGAACATATGTTCATTTGTGGTAAGGGCTCAGGTGGAAAGAATAAAATAAGGAAGAGGGATAAGGTAAGACAAAGGGGAGGATGGAATTTTTGATAAGGGGGCCAGGAAGGGTCATGTCTCACGACAAGGTTACTCTGGAGTGAAGACCTGGAGAGAGTGAGGAAGCGGCTCTGTGGACACGGGAGCAGGAGAGTCCCAGTCAGAGGGAAAGGATGTTCAAAGGCACTGGGGCAGCAGCTTCCGTGGTGCATGGTTGGAACCAAGAGAATGGAGGGAAGAGAGGAGGTTGGCAGGGAAAGGGGGGACAGGAAGCCTGTGCAGGGTCTGAGCTGAGAGGTGACATGACCAGGTCACCAGACCACCCTGGCTGCTGAGCTGAGCATTTACTGTAGGTGGGGGGCAAGAGTGCAATCAGGGGGACAAGCTGGGAGGCAATTCCAGTGGTTCAGGAGAGAGACAATGGTAGCTAAGATGAGGGATGTGGCAGTATGGACCCTATGGGAGCTGATCATTCCAGGGACTCCATACAGCCCCGGAGCTCTGTAGAGTGCAGGGACCTTTAGCCCGCTGGCCCTAGCTGGGCCTGGACCCAGTAGGGAGGCATGAAGTGCACAGACCAGACCCCACCCCCGGCACAGGCCCCAGCTCGCTCTCCTGGCATTGTGCTCACCCTGACTCACCAAGAAACCTCAGCACAGGGCAGGCCATGACTCTCAGTGTCCCCTGCCCCTCACTTCAAAAAAAAAACAACAGCTGGCCATCAAGGGCTATGTTAATAACTTCCAACCATTAAAGTGGAAGATGTCCAGAGGAGGATGAGAAAATCTAAAACTTGACAGGAGAGAGGGGGAGCACACAGGTGGTGTCCGCCTGATGTGTGGGGGCCCCAGGGTCACTTCTCCAAATCAAAGGCATCCGAGGCCTTTCCCCTGTCATGTCCTTGGCACCTAGTCCAATGTCTGGAAAATAGCAGAAGTTCAATAAACCTTAGGAAGGAAGGAAGGAAATGCTTCTCCAATCGTGGTGAATGTTGATACTCAGCAAGGGCCAGTATATTTAAATCATTCACTGTCTTCACCACGCCTCCTGGTCTCCCTACCATGAGACTGAATAGCGTGACCTTGTTCCTGTGGGTCTGCAGTGGCCTCGGGCCCAGCAACGGGGCTGGCCAACCAGGAAGCCGTCGGTCCTGTCACAGGGCCCAGCACACAGCAAGTCTCAGGTGGTGCCCATGCCCGCCGCCAGGCCCTCCCAGGAGTTGGCGACTTCTGCCCCCATCCACTTACCACCGTGGTCCAGCTGGGTATGAGCCTGACCGAGTTCTTCACCTCCTCCTCCGTCACCTCCACCATGCTGCAGTGCTCCTCCTCCGAGGGAAGGGGCTCCTCCCCATTCTTGGTCACCCAGGGGTGCAACTGTAGAGGAGAGGACGGGGAGGGTCAGGGCCCGGTGACAGATGCCGGCCAGCAAAGGACCTGGGCGTTCCACCAGAAGTCCCCTTGAGGGTCCCAAGGCCACAAGCCCCAACCCAGCACACACATGCCTCCAGGGTAAGGCTCCCCAAACAGGGAAACCAAGGCCTGTATTCTGCGGCCCAGCCCAGCTCAGCACCTTGATGTCTGGCACCCCAATTCTCGTTTCGGGGTTCTTGTCTAGCATCTTCAGGATTAAGTCTTTGAGCTCGTCGCTGACCTTTGGCCTAAAGAAAAGGAAGGAAGGAGACAAGGGAGAGACAGCTGATGGTCCTTTCCTTCCCAATTCTCCACCCTACCCTGGTCTGGGCTTCCCTGAATTGACACATGGCGCAGTGGTAAAGAACCCGCCTGCCGATGCAGTAGATGCCAGAGACACGGGTTCGATCCCTGAGTCAGGAAGATCCCCGGGAGTAAGAAACGGCAACCCACTCCAGTATTCCTGGAAGATTCCATGGACAGAGGAGCCTGGCGGGCTATAGTCCATGGGGTCACAAAGAGTCAGACATGACTGAGCATACACACACAAGGCAGAAACACTGCTGACCCTCAGGTCTCAGAGAGCAGGATGGGAGGGATGCCCCTGAGGCACCAAGGTGGAAGGAGAGAGTTTCAGAACAAGGGTACAAATAGCCTTCTCCCCTGAGTACCATGTAAAGCAGTCACCCTCAGGGGGCAGAGGTCACAGATCCAAAGAGGCTCCCATGGGTGTTGGACACCTGCCCGCAGCGGGCAGAGATGATGAGGATAAGTTGAGAAGAGTCACTTTAAGGGACTCCAGGGGGCCTTCAGCCCCACTCACCCCACCCCCATCTTCTTTCCTCCACCGGGGAGGCGGCCAGGGAGAGTACTCACTGGACAGAGGAGGAAACGAAGGCCCGCATCACCCCACCTCACCCCCACCCCGACCCCCACACCAAGAGCGAGGGCAGGGCCAAGGCTCATCGGGAAGGGTGCAGGGCTCAGCCCACATCAGCTTCGGCCGGCTCTGCCCAGGCTTCACGCTTCATTGCTACTTAAATTCTTGGCAGAAGGAACCTACTCTTAGAACTATGACCTTGGCTCCCTCTGCCGGCCTAGATTCCTAATCCCTTTTAAAACTCCTGGGCTGGGGAGGATGCATAGCAGGAGGAAGGGCGAGGAGACGGCAGTCAGAGGAAAGGGACTGAAGCCAGTGCTGCGGGGGGTGGCAGCTGGGGGGCGGGGAGCCCTGTGGTGGGTGAACAAGGGGTGGGACCCGGGGGTCACTGAATGCCTGGGCTAGGGCGTGCCTATTCTTGAAGCAGGAGATAGGGTGAGATTTGTTGTGCTTTATAGGGTCACTCTGCCTGCCCGTGGTGGTTGGACGAGGCAGAGGACAGGTAGGAGGTGCACTTGGCAACGGAGCCGAAAGAAATGTTAAGAGGCAGACTCAACAAGGCTAGGAGCCAAACAGGAAGTGGGCGAGAGGGAGCAGGAGCACAGAGGACCACTCCCAGGTTTGTTTCTGACCTGCCCGGGGCACTCAGCAAAAGGCAAGAGGGCTCTGAAATGTGAAGCACCAGGGGCCGCAGGCTGGCTGCCGTAACCAGCATTTTGATCAGAACCATGAATGAGCACAGGGGCCTCTCCAAACAGTCCCTCTGGGCTCAGAGACCTTAGTCGCAAAGGAAGGGGGAGGGCGAAAGGAGTGGCTTCAAGTCCGAGGCCCACTGAGCCTCCACTTTTCCATCTGTGAAACGGGAGAGTGCACTGGCATCATGAAGCCCCCCACCCCGTGTGGAGAAGGTGGAAGTTCCCCGTGGGTGCAGGGTCTACATGGGGGTGATGTCACTGATCTCATGGAGGCCTTCAGTGAAGGAGCAGATGAGCATGTAACCTGGGGTCATCCCTGCCCCGCTCCTGGGCTCAGAGTTCCCGTCTATACAAGGACATCTGACCCAGGTGTCTGGGACACTCTCACATCTCCCTCCATCTGCTCCCAGGGAGCAGCACCCCCACCTCCAGGTCTGCAGGTTGGAGCAGGGCCCTGGAAGGACAAAAGCTCTGCTAAGACTCAGACATGCCTCCCTGGGGGTGGGCGGGGCCCGTGGTGGACAACTGGACAACTCACTCCTCGGGGAACACGACGGCCTCATTCTTGATCTTGCGGTGCAGGGCCAGGATGTAATCATCGATGAACGGGCACTGCGGGGGGAGAGACAAAGGATGCGGGCCCAGCGCCTCAGCCTACTGGGGGCAGCTCTGGGCTCCTCATGAGATGGGGGTGAGGGGGCCTCATCAGGGCCTGGCCCACAGGAGATGCCCAGCAAACGTGGACTGAATGAGTGTGTCATGGAGGGAACCAGGGGCTGTGTACCTGCCAGTGTAACAGCCACTTGCAGCAAGGCCTGCACTGCCAGGGCCTAAGGTTTGGGAATGTGCTCCCTGAGATTCCGTCCTGTGCCTCAGCGCGGTCCCTGGAGTGGGGACACCTCTGGACAGGGAACTGGGCCATGTCAAGGTCAGACGTCCGGCCTGACTCAGAGCAGGTGTCAAGGACAATTTGTTGAATGAATGAAGGAGTAAGTGAATTTGTGAATGAATGAATGGCATTGAAGGACAGAAGGACAAGGAGCACTCAGGCTGGAGTGGTGGTAAGACCACCATCTAACCTCTGTGGGAGGTCTGCTGACCCAGGACTCCCGCACATGAATCCATCCCCCCCAAGAGGACAAGGGGACATGAGAAAAATAGAAACGCCCCTTTTCCTTCCATCATTTCTGAGCAGAGTGGGCTCTTTCAAAGTCACTTTACTTCAGGACACAAGGGCACAGCCTACATCTATCATGCATCCTGGCTCAGCTCGCCCAACCCATGGTGCCAGGGGTGTGGGCTGGCCCCAGCTCTGCCAGCCCACCCAGCACTCACCTTCCCATAGACAAAGCAGTACAGCGTGACCCCTGTGGCCCACACATCCAAGGCCTAGAAAGAAACAGTTCACATCAGTCCCCCAAAAGGAATAGACACACCCCTTGCTCACCCAGTTCCAGTGGGCCATGGGAGAAGGCAAGCAGGAGACCTCCTTCCCCAGTCATGCATTCATTCAACAAACACTCCCAGGCCCTTGTTCTATGCCAGACCCTGTGCTGAGCACTGCAGACATGGGGATGGCCAGAGCAGGGCCCCTGCCCTCCAGGGTTTCCAAGTTTCCTTGGAATGGGCCCAAACCAGATGTGTTTCCAACAGAACAGTGCAAAACCCACTTCGTCTACAAGGTCACATTTGCAGTACCCATAACACTGATGCACTCCAGAATATTGAATTTATACTTGCTAAACCAGCTCTCACTTTGAGAAGTCATCCCTCTTGCTGATGATCCCCTAGAGAAGCCATCATCCACCTTCTTTCTGACACCAGAACAGCCTCTGGCCCTCAGCTACCTCCGCAACTCCTCGGGGCTCCCCTGCACCCTGGATTCGAATGTGCCCTGTCTCTACAAGTTCCCGCTTCTGGAACCCCACTTCCTCTTCTCATATCCGCTTTCTCCCTTATGTGAGTGATCCTCAAATCTCTACCTATGCATTCCTGCCACAGATGCCTCATCTGAATCCAATCAGGGAACACCAGACAAATGCAAACTGAAGTCGTTCTACAAAATAACAGGCCTGTTCACTTCAAAAATGCCAAGGTCAAGCCACTCTTCCAGATTAAAGGACCCCAAAGAGACAGGACAAGTGAATGCAGTGACTGACCCAGGACTGGATCCTGAACCAGAAAACGAAAAGACATTAAAGGACACAGTATGGGGGGGCAACCGATGAAATGTGAGTAAGGTCGATTAGGTAACCGTCTTTTATTGATCATAAATGTCCTAACTTTCATAACTGTACTGATGTTATGTAAGAGAATGCCCTTGTTCTCAGAAAATATCCCTGGCAGTATTTAGCAGTAAAGGGGGATAATGTCTCCAACTTCCACAAATACAGGGAGAAACAGTGAAAAGGCAAATGGGATAAAATGACCTATATAGGAATAACCTAATATGTGTATATGTATAATTGATTCACTCTGCTGCACACTTGAAACTAACACAACGTTGTAAATAAATTCTACTCCAATAAAAATTAATTAAAATAAAAAGAAAAAAAAATCTCTATTTACATCCCTCTCTTGACCTTCATATCAACACACATGTCCAAACTCCTCAACCATTTCCTCCATGGCAGAACCACAGGGGGGCAGCCAGCACTCCACAGGGGATAACAGGATGTGTGCCCGGGGACACACAGAATCACAGCCTCTGCCTGGAAAGCTTTGCCACTGCCTCTGTCACTTAGGACCAAGCCCAAACTTCCAGACCCTCTAAACTCTGCCCAAATGCCACCGCACCCCTCAGTTCTCTGGTATGTTCTCTGGACCCCACCTCCTGTAAATTCTCCCTATTCTTTAAGGCCTAGTTCAAATACTGCCATACCCTCAGAAGTCAGGGGAGCCTCCGACATCCCCCAAGACAGGAGTTCTCCTGTCCTTTCACCAGGATCAAAGGGCAGGGAGCTGGGCCATCCGAGCTCTGACTGTCCCACATCCCAGCCCAGAACTCAATAGACAGCAGCTGGTAGGAAATTTCTGCAGGGGGCCATTGTGCTGGAGAACGAGAGGAGACCCAAGCTGGGGTTCTTATTGGACTCCAGGAAGAGGCAAACCCAGGGGGAGAGGACCCTGTTTGGTGCTCACTCCTAAGATACGAAGACTTTGGCTCCCCCAGGTTAGATACGGGATGGCATGACATGCTACCCAACCCCTCCACCTAAACCCCAACCCAGACCGGACCCTGGGGGCCACCTTTCCACTGAAGCTCTGGCCGGAGTCTGAAATGGCCTCGGGGGCCATGAATGCTGGAGTCCCAGCGGTGCTGGACAGCCGAGCGTCGTTCCCCTCAAACTGGTTGCTGACACCGAAGTCAGCGATCTTCACGTGCCCGTCGTCCCCCAGAAGCAGGTTTGATGGCTTGATGTCCCTGTGGATGATCTTCTGGTAGTGCACTGCAGAGAGAGGCAGCTCAAGCGTCGGCCTGGGGCCCCTTCACCCAAAACTGCCCCCTTGACCCTTGCCTGGCCCTGGAGGCACCCTCAAACTCCAGGAGAGAAGCAGCTGGGACTTCCTGGCCCCTGCACACACTCATCTCATGAGGACCTTGGAAGAGGATGTCAGGGCCCCCCGCTCAGCTATGCAGTGAAGACACTAACTCAGGCTGTTAGTAACAGAGCCAAGCCTGGACTCTCAGGAATCTTGGAACTCCAAGCCTGGTGCTCTCTCCGTGGCAGTCAAGGCCCCTGCCGTTGAGTGGACGTCAAAGGAAACTGGGGAAGAGGGTCTCCATAGGCCCTCCCTGCCCCCCCATGTGAGTGCTGTCTGCAGGCTCAAAGCCCATCAAAATCTTTCTATACTTTGGGACTCCCTGGTGGCCTAGTGGCTAAGACTCCGTGTTCCCAATGCAAGGAGCCCAGGTTCGATCCCTGATCAGGGAACTAGGTTCTACATGCCACAATTAAGTGTTCGTATGCTGCAACTAAAAGGTCCTGCATGCCACACGAAGACTGAAGATGCTGTGTGTCGCAACTAAGACCTCGCGCAGCTGAATAAATCAGTTAAGCAAACAAACCTGCGTCCAGTTCCATCCCCTGCCCAGCCTGTCACAGCTGCCACTGCTTCTTGGACTGAGGGTGGGGTATCCTGCAGAGGTATTACCCTCAGCCCTGGGACTCTGGGCCAATGGGGTTTTAGAGAGGGAGGGAACGCCAGTCCTTGGGAGCTCCAGGATGAACATGGCTGGGGTAATGGTCAGCCTGCTCTGGTAGGCTAAGTTCCCACCCTGCTTCCTGGGTCCAGCATTGCTGGGAAGAGACAAGCAGCTCAGACTGAGATAGCCCTAGATGTCCCAGCAGAGGAAAGGCACTGACTTCACCCACAGCCTTGCACTTCTGAGCTCGCCACTCAGCAAATACCTTCCCCTGGACCACCGCATCCCGGTATGATGGAGACAAGGGAAGATGAAACAGGAAGGAGGGCAGGGGAGGGGAGAGGAGGAGGAGAGGGTGGCTGGGGGTGGGGGGCAAAAGGAGTGAGGATCATATAATAATAACAACAGAGGGGCTTCCCTGGTGGCTCAGCGGTAAAGAATCTGACTGCCAGTTCAGGAGACACAGGTTCGATTCCTAATCCAGGAAGATCCATCATGCCACCGAGCAACTAAGCCCGAGAGCCACAGCTACTGAAGCCCACGCACCTGGAGGCCCTCGATCCACAAGAGAAGCCACTGCAATGAGAAGCCCGCACACCTCAACTACAGAGCAGCCTCCACTCACGGCAACTAGAGAAAAGCCCAGGCAGCAGTGAAGACCCAGCACAGCCAAAAACAAATATATAAATAAAAAGCATTAAAAAAAAATAAAAACAGAACCCATGACCCTACAGCACTCTCCTCCCATGTGTCAGGTACATGTGAATCATTTGACACACACCCATTTGAGCACGGGTGGCTCTGTATTTGACCATGGAAAGTGGGCTCAAATTCTAGCTTCTCCCTTGAATTCTCAACTGTTTATCCAAATGGGCATCCTGTGGACATCTCAATATATATCCCAATATTTCTCGATCACATTTTTGTTTTTTGGCCGTACTATGCAACATGCAGGATCTTAGTTCCAGGACCAGGGATCAAATCCCTGCCCCCTGCATTGGGAGCGTGGAGTCTTAACCACTGGACCTAAGGAAGTCCCTCAAACACATATTTAATGCAGAATTTGACCTCTCTATCTGAAATCACCACCAAACAAACAACCTTATTCCTTGTCTAGTCCCTCCCATTTGATTAATGGCCATACTACCAGTTGCTCAGCCAAAAACCCCTCTTTCCTTTAGATCTCACATCCAATTCATCAGCAAGTCCTATGAGCTGGACCTCTCAGATATATTCCAGACCCGACTGCTTCTCCTACCTGCATGGCTGCACTGGCCCCGTCTGTGAGAGTCAGGCCTGAGCCTCCCAGAGCACAGGGAGCCTCAACTCCCCCTTCTCAGGCACGGAATCACAAGGTGGGCCTTCAGCACCCGGTGTCTCCATTGTCTGCCTGTTTAGTCCCTGGTGCTGTCCTATCCACTCCAGAAAGCCCTTCATCGACCGTGATTAGCTAGGTCTTGATGAGGCTTTACCCAAGAATCAGATGGGATCAGCTTGGCTTTTTTTTTTTTTTTTTTTGCAGAGAGAGGATGAGAGACAACAGGCCCAGGACAGGAAGTGGGTGGAAGCCAAGCTGGTGTAGGGTTGCGTCTGCTGCAACCACACCAGGCTGAAATGCCCTCCTCTCACACCTCTAGGCCCTTGTAGGGACCTACAGTGCCTCAGTTTCTCCATATGTACAAAGACAGCATTAACATGAAGGCACTGGAGTGGCTCAAATGAGATAGACATTCACTGCAGGTCAAACCTCAGCTGGCCCTCACCTGGTCCTCTAGGGAGAGAAGATGCTTCTGATAAACCAAGCTGAGGATTCAGAGGGGGAATGTATCCCACTCCCCAAACCAGGCCAGGACCCTAGGTGCCTGCAGGCCCCCTTTTCCCTTTGACCAGAGAGTCACCCGGTGCCGGCCACCCCACCTCCTTCACATCTGCTCCCCACTGCCGCAGCCCTAATCCAGGACTCACCATCTGTCACTTGGGCTGCAAAACCAGCTTCCTCCCTAACCAGTTGGCCGCCTCTTGCCCTCCATCCAGCCGCCACACAGCTGCCAGACAGAGCTTTCTAAGACACAAATCCGATCACTCCCCTCCCCTGCTCGAAGCCCTCTGGGTCTCACAGGGCTGACAGGATAAAATCACGAAAGTCCTCTGCACTGACATTCCCAGCCCTCAAGGTGTGACCGGGACAGTGCTTCCAGCATCATCTTTCCCCATCCCTGGCTCCCTGGTTGGACTCAACCAAACTGAACTCCCCCTTCTCAGAGAGTACATGCCTACTCCCCTCTATGCCGCTGCCATGCAGTACACCCTCCCACCATGCCTCAAACTGGCCAGTGAACTCCTATTCGTCCTTCAGAACCCTGCTCATAAGTGGTCTCCTCCAGGAAGCCTCCCTTGGTCCCTTAGTGCTCTGACAGCTCCTGCGCCTCCCCAGTCTTGACAGAAACTGCTTAGGTTCCTGTCTCTCCTCCTAGGCTGCGAGATCCTTGAGATCTCTTCTGGGTCTTTGGCATCTACATGCCCCCAACTGGCACTTACTAGGTGCTCATAAATGGATAAATGAATGAATACATGAATTCCAGACAGAGGCTAAGCCAACATCTTCCCTCCTGAGCTCTCCATCACCTTAGGGTGCCTCACAGTAAACCCACTCAGCTACCACCCACCGGTTCCATGACAGGACTGACTCTTCCTCGAGCAGCTGGACACAAACTCCTTCCCACAGCTCCTGATGCCCTGTGAGAGACTGAGCTTGAGATACAGGAAGAACATCCACCTATGCGGTAATAAGCAGGCCCACAGAAGGACCTGGCGCATGCCCAGTGAAATCTGCCACTACCCTACCTGTTCAGGAGGTTTCGGCCCCGCCCACAGGCCCATTGACCCGCCCCCCAGCTAAAGATGATTGGCAGATCAGCACTGACTGACAGGAACGGCTCAGAGCCGGCCCACCCTGGGCTCCAGCCCCTCCTGTGTCCCCCTCTCGGGTCCCCAGCCCAGGGAGGCAGGCAGCCCCTCACTCACAGTACTCAAGGCCCAGGATGATGTCCCTCAGGTAGAGGCGAGCTTGCTCCTCGGGGAAGGGCTTGTCGCAGGGTACTTCCATGACCGGCCTGTCGGGAGGGCGGGGTGTTTAGCTGGAATTAGGATGAGCAAAAGCAGATGGCAGGTTCCCCTTCACTGGGCCCTACAAACTCTTTGGCACCTTTCAGGAGCCCTCTAAGCTCGAATGGGTCCCTGGAACACAAGATAGTAGCTTTTTCTCTCATATAAAGAAAATTTGAAAATACACATAGATGCACATATCCCTTTTCAATCGTTACAATTTCAAATTAGCTTTATCTTACTTCTGGTTGGCTTGGTATGCCTTCTTCTAAGTACTTAATTATCAACAATCAGACAGTTGCAAAGATTCCATTTACAGCTGTGTTTTTCAAACTGTAGGTCCAGGACAAAGAAGGTCATGAAATCCATTTAGTGGGTGGCTACTGCTTTTTCTTTTCTTTTCTAATAAAGTCCTATATACTAGAGAATATCACATGTAACAAGGATATATGCTGTTTTAGAAAACTTTGGTTTCAATTACAGATATGAATAGCAATGTAAAACTTTATTTCTTACTTGGAACAGAGATAAAAAATGCTGAAAGCCCCTGAGTCTTTTTTTTTTTTTTCCCTGAGTCTTAAAGGACACATTCCCTGCCTCTTGCCAGAACTGGTCTTTAGCGCCTCCCAGACAGAGAGACAAGTCACAGCCTATATTCAAGACCTTAGCGGTTAAGGAGCCCAGTCCACCCAGCCCTGCACCCACTACTCCACGTCAGCTGCTCTGCACATACCCTGAGAAGGTTAGACAAGGCAGACATGAGTTAGAACCCTAGATTTCATCAGCGACTCGCTGTGTGCCTTTGGGCAAGCCACTTACCCTCTCTGAACCTCAGCTTCCCCTCTTGTAAAAAGGGAGTGAATGAAGTCCCAACTACCTAACTCACAAAATGTGTAAAACTGAAAGAACTCTTTTGTGATTTGAATACAGGTGAGAGTTGAGTTTCATCTCTCTACTTTTCCTTTCTTCTCTTGCTCCGGCATCAAATCTTCTTCCAATTCTTCAAGGCCTGGCTGGAAATCCACCCCCTCTTCCTGAGGCCTCCCTGACTATTCCAGCCTCACTGACCCCATCAGCCTTCCAAGAATCACCCTCTTGGTCTCTCATTTCCCATCCATTTCCACCACCCCACCCCCGAACCCAGACCACAGCTCCCTAAGGACAGAGCCTGGGCCTCTTTCTTTCACTAGAGTAGCTGACCCTAGGACTAGGGATACAGGGAGGGAAAGGAAGACCTGGCCTGCCTGAACACGATGGGGAACTCACCCCTTTCTCAGGAGGTCAAACACTGAAAGAAAGGAGAAAAGAAAAGTAGGTAAGTTGCAGCCAGGCTGAAAACACAGCCAATGCCAAGATCCCTGCCCCTTCTGGAGGGTGGGAGAGGGGGCAGGCATCCAGGCATACTTGAGGGAGAGACAGGAGAGGGGTCCCAGGGTATCAGGTCTACTATGAACTTGCCTCACTGGAACCTTAGGTGCCAAGTGAGGAGCATCAGCATGAACGCCTTTAACAGGGGAAACTGAGTCTCAGAGAAGGGGCAGGTAGGAGAGGGAGTGGAGGCTAAAGACTTGGCCTCTAACTCCTAAGCCTGTGTTCCTTCTGGCCCATTCCCTGAAAGCCTCTAAGCCCAACCCTGAATCAAGCACCAGGGACTTAAGTAACAACATCAGTATTACTGTTACTAACAATAATAGCTAATGTGTCTTGCATGTAATAACTCATTTACTTCTCACATCAACCCTATGATGTAGATACCATTACTATCCCCATTTTACAGGTGAGGAAACTGAGGCACGGAGTTATCAGCTAGGGCCTGGGAATCCACATCACACAGCCTACTTCTTGTATCTGCCTGATCCACTGTCTCTCCAATCAGTGGTATGGGGGTTTGGGAACACTGGTTGACTCTAACTGGATATCCTGAGTCTGGCTCAGCAGGGCTGAGGAGAGAATCTGGGACTTGAGAACATGTCTTTCCTCCCTGTCCCTAGTAGGTCAGTTCATTTCACAAGGCCCATCTGAAGGTCAAGTGTGTCCCTGGGGAGCCTTTGGACCCACCCGAGTAAGCTACTTTGGGGATGAGCTGGGTCACTCACCCAAATAGAGATTGTCCTCAGCTGGGTCATCCAAGACCTGGTGAGAAGGAGCAGACATGGCGGTGGGACTTGGGGAGGCATGGGGTAGGGGTGCTTGCCAGCCCCAGGGCCCACTGTGTGCTTTGCAACCACCCCGGATGATGGAGCAGGACCTATGCCAGCACGAGGCTGATGAGGCCTCAGAAACCACTGGCCCCTCACCCTGGTCCACCACACAGCACCCTGCCCCTCTCCCCTTCGCCATGGGGCTCACTTCTTGCCTCTGGAGCAGCTCGACCCCCTCCATGGGAACCTGAGAACATCCCAGAGCAGCCTCAACTGGCCCCAGAAGCCTCCTGGCCATCCCTATCCCAATTCTGGCCCTGCCCTTGGCACATCTCCCTTGGCAAAATCCCTGGGTCTATGCCAGGTGCCCCCTGCACCGAGGGCTACTCCACAGGCCTCACCTGTTCGCCACCTACCTCGATCAGCTTGACCACATTCACGTGGTCCAGCTTCTTCAGGATGGCAATCTCCTGGTACACCCGCTCCAGGGGCAGCAGCTGCTTGGCTGGGCCTCCCTGGGCAGCCTGGGACCCTCTTGGGGGAGGCCGACCTGTGATCAGGAACGAGAGCCCAGCCTGTCACAGGAGGCTGGGCCTCACCGTAGCCCTGCAGCCAGCCTTAAGCAAGAATCTTGCAAGACCTTGGCCTTGGCCTCAACCCACCAAGCACAGTCCCACCAGCAGGCCTTTGCTCACTCTCTCCCTGTCCACCCCCTAGTCCTAAGAAAGCTAGCCTCTGAGGTCTCCCCCTCGTCCCCAGGCCAGGAGCTCCCACGCACAGGACCAGACAGATACGCACGTGGGAAGCCGTACTGCTTCAGTAACTTCTTCTTGGAAAGAACTTTCATGGCCTGAGGAGGGAGGGGCAGAGATGTCACTGACGTGGACCCACCAGGGCTTAGAACAGACTGGCTACACGTGAACTGAGGTCCAGAAAGGCTCACGGGCACACGGCACTGAGCGTGTGGACCGGCTGCAGTTACACTGAGTTAGGAGGTGGCCATGACTGAACCTTAGGCCTTACCCCTGTTTCCCATAACAGCCCTTTCTGGAGCTCTCCCCTCGGAGGCATCCAGCGTCGGCTTGTATATTCCCAAGGTCAAGAAGCTCATTCCCTTTGCATTCCACTAAGGACAGGGAGATTATTCCCTTCACAGGCAGCCTTGTCCACCGTCTTGGCACAGCTTCTGCCCACCCCCCAATCTTCTAGGGCCCAGTGTAGGCGACACCTCCCCCCTTTCCCCAGACTTACATAGTGTCTGTCTTCACTTTCATTGTAGGCCAGCCTCACCACACCGTAGGCACCCTGCAAAGAGGCACAGGTCAGCCCCTGCTGGATAGGGCAGCCTCCCCCAAGACTAGGAGGAGAGGAGGAGGGGAGCCCGAGCTGCTCATTCCCCCCATCTCCTCCCACATCCCATCTCAACCCCGGCAACCTGTGGGCATAAATTTCAGGCAGGAAGGGAGGGCACCATTCCCAGGTCACTGCCCCCGCTGGGCTCAGCACAGCTCTATGCCTTGCCCAGTCCCCTCCATCAAAAACTCTGAGAACTTCCCCAGGGGTTCAGTGGTTAAGAATCCACCTGCCAATGCAGGAGACAAGGGTTCGATCCTTGGTCTAGGAAGATTCCACATGCCATGGGGCAACTAAGCCCATGTACCACAACTACTGGGCCCACACTCTGGAGCCTGTGAGCCGCAACTACTGAAGCCCGTGAGCCTAGATCCATGCTCAATATCAAGAAAAGCCACTGCAATTAGAAGACCATGCACTGCAACAAAAAGTAGCCCCTGCTCAACGTGACTAAAGAAAGCCCATGCAGCAAGGAAGACCCAGGACAGTCAATAAATAAATAAGCATATCAAACTCCAGGGAGTCAGGAATCAAGAATTATCTCCCATCCCCTGTAAAGGACAAAACTTCCCTCACATCCAGGGTAGGACCTTCTTGGCTCAGCCTCACATTCCCGGAGGAGGAGAGGGGATTGTGGAGGATCCAGACAGGCTGGCTCCGCAAATCCCCAAAACAAGTTCCCCCTGCTCTTGGCCTGCCCCCAGGCCTACCTTGCCAATCTCACTCTGCAGCTTATACTGGTTCAGCTGTACACAGTCCTGGTGGGGGAAAGAGAGGGGCCATCAGGTAGAGCTTGATCCAGAAGCAGCACTCCAGGTACACTTGCAGGGCCCAATCCTGGCCCCAGGCCCCTCACCCTCAGGCCCCGGGCCTCATCAACATTTCAATTTTAGATGGGGAAATGAGGTGGTGCCAACACCAAAAGTGATACTGAAAGCTACAAGACTTGGATAATGTTTGGAGATGTGAATGGTGAAATTTGCCTGTGCTTTGCTCCCTGAGAAGTGGTGGGAAAATGCACTAATTTCCACCTGGATACTGGGGGCTGGGAGACCCTGATGTGAGAAATCCATGAGCAAGTATTTCTAGAAGCAGCTGAATGAGGAGACTGCATAGACCGGAAAGATGAGGACAACCTTTGGACAGGGGACCTGGCTCGGCCTCTAAAATCTGCAGGTTGCTCAGTACTTAGGTTCACTTTAGATCCAAGACGCAAAGACAGAGCCAGTGGGAGCCCAGAGGCTGGGAGAAGGCTGGCAGTTTGTGAGTCACAGCAGACTCTATGAGGCAGGATTAGAAGTGGGGGGCTCAAGCTGGGGAAGACTTGGGGGACAGGAGAACACACTATCTTCGAATCTCTAAATGGACTTCTTGGGGAATATGGGAGGGACCTATTTCCTAGGCTTCGACTGGGAGTAGGAATGGTGGGACTAATAGGAGGCAGCAACTGGCTCAGATGGAGCTCCCCTGGGTGGGAAGAGGCCACATAGAGAGGTAGTGAGTTCCTCGGCTCTGGGAGTATGCAAACCAATGTCTGGACAGCAGTGTGGCAGGGGTAGAACAACCAAGGGTCTTCACTGAGGACTGCTGAGAAGCTCATGGGCACCCCCTAGCTCTGCTCCACCAACCTCTGCGTCCGAGATGGCCACGTGGTGGGACTCAATGGTGGGCCTGCGCCAGGCCCGCGGGGAGATGTGACTGGCAGGCCCTGTGGCGTAAGGCCCAGCCTGGGCCTTCAGGCAGCTCCCCGCTGGCCGTTCCTGCAGAGAGAACTTCCTTGTTGAGAGGCTGGGCCGGGTTGCAGGGTGTCTTGAAGCAACGCCGGGGATCATGGAGGCTGCTCTGGCCCGTGACGGAGGGTCCACACAGTTCCTGGGAGGCTCAGGGCTGCCATCCGTCTCCTCCAAGTGGGTCACATCAATGGCTGCCACTCGATCCACCAGCTCAGCCCGAGGGTCCTGGCAGCAGACCGCCGGGCCCCCCTCCATTGCCACAGTCAAGGGGGTCCTCAGTGCAGCCTTATGGGGAACCTAAGAGGGCAGAGAAGGCTCCAGTCCTGGCCACTGAGCAAGGTCAGATTCCCAGGCCCCACCCCCACCGTAGCCACAAATTGTGAGTCCCACTTCCATGCCTTTGCCTTGCTGTTCCCTCTGCCTGGGTCGCCAGCATCCAAACTGAGGTCTCCCTCCTCACTAAAGGAATGCCAGGGGGCTTCCCTGCTGGCTCAGTGGAAAAGAATCCGCCTGCCGATGCAGGAGACACAGGTTCGATCCCTGATCTGGGAGGATCCCACATGCTGTGGAGCAACTTAGCCCATGAGCCACAACTACTGAAGTTGAGCCTGCGCTCTAGAACCTGGAAACAGCAACTACTGAAGCCCAGGGCCCTAGAGCCCGTGCTCTGCATCAGAAGCCACCGCACTGAGAAGCCTGTGCACTGCCACTAGACAACAGCCCGCGCAGCAGTGAAGACCCAGCACAGCCAAAAATACAGTTTTTTTTTAAAAAAAAGGAATTCCAGGAACTCATCTGGCTCTGCTGCACATCTGCCCTCAAGACCTCAGTATTCCCATCTGTAAAACAGGCACATCAGCCGTGCTGGCTTTATAGGGAAGCAGGGAGAATTTGATATTCTGGAGTCAGAACAGACAGACATGGGCAGAACTGGAGGCCTCGCGGCACTGGCAGAAACAGAACCCGGGGTCAGCTCGGGCCCCCATCCAGCAGACAGCCCAGTGACTCACAGCTCCACCCCTGACAGCAGGGCATTCCAAGGCTGCCAACGCCACCGCTGTGCTGCCTGAAGCTGAGCTGAGCTCCTGATGCTTCAGGTCCCCCCCTCCACCCCTGTCGCTGCTTCCAGGAAGATTTCCCTGCAGCTCCAGCCTCTCCCACCCTGGCACCTTCTCCAGGGAGGCTTCTCCAGGGCCACAGGGCAAGTCTCCCATCGCTCCCTTCCCTGCCCCAGCAGAGCCTGCAGCCCAGGACAGGCTCCTTTAGAGGAGGTGGCTGCTGCTCTGATGACGGTGAAGAGAGACTTTACTGCACTTATTTCTCCTGGTTTTTCCTTCCAGTTTATTCATGTGGCCAAAACGTTCACCTCATCTGTTCAGGTTGAGGTGCTCCCCTGGCCTGGCCTGGCCTGGCCTCCTTCAGTCTGAGCCCCCAGCAAGGCCCAAACCAACCTCCAGTGTCCAGTCCCAGCCCTCACATTCAACCACATCCCTGGGCTGAACCCTGACCCCAGGCTGAACCCGGATACTCAGGCTGGGACTCCATCTCTGCCCAGGGCTGAGCACAGGCTCCACCCCACTCAGTGCCCCTCCCCCTTCCTAGACCAGACTCAGTATCTTCTCCGGAAAAGGAAGTAAGTGGACTCCTGACCCTCTGCCCTTCCTGTCTGGTGGTAACTTGCACCGTTACCACAGAACAGTTTTGAGAACATGGTCTTTATCTCACTCCTTATCCCCCCATCACCTTGCTTTGACAGATATCAAGGAGGCTGGGCTCACTGGAGTCCACTGGAGTCTGGGCTGGGTTACAGTCCTGCCTCCAACCTACCCAGGGCAGCTCCTTCCCAACTCTGAGCCTCAGTCTTCCCATCTGTACTATAGATGCAGGACCTTCCCAGATTCCCAAGGCCACAACAAGAGTTGGAAATGTATTGTGGGTAAGGGTATGGTCCAGACCCCCTGTGTTTGACACCCAAAGTATTGAATGAGTGGTAGCCTGGTGGAGCAGATGTCGGCATGCAGAAAGGAAGGGGGAAGGGAATCTAGACTGGCAACAGGAAAAGATATGGACACTGGACCTAAGGAAGTGAGGGGAATGTGAGCATCAGGGAGGCCTCCCTGGAGGAGATGGAATGGGATTAGAGCATCAGAAAGGCTTTAGGAACCAGATGGTTGCAAGAAGGAAGAAGCCAGGGCTAAAAGGAACCCTCCAAGCCTGGCCCACGCTGCCACCCTTCCCCCTCACTCTGTAGGTTCTTTTTCTCCCACATAAACTCCACAGATTAGGGTTCTTGTCTGCCTCATCTCCATTAGACCACTAGCCTCTGCAGCAGTCCCTGAGGCATAATAGGAGTTCAATAAATATTTGCCATAGTGATCATTACAGTCCTGGCCCCATTACACAGATGGGAAAGCAGAGAGGAGAGAGGGAACCCCAAGAAGCTTAAGACCCCAGCCCACAGCAGGGAACGGATGGCAGTGTCTGGAGCTCTTGTCCTCTGGTCCCCAGCAGGAACCCAGGGGACTGAGAACCATCACAGGCAGAGGCCACAGGCTGCCTAGCCCATCAAATTTGCATATGATTTTCCCTGAAGCTATCACCCTGGCCACAGGCCATCTTCCTTCAACTCCCCCTTTTTTTTCTCAGATGAGGAAAGTAGGGCCCAGCAAGGGACAGGTGTGGGTCTGGGGTCACACCTCAGGTCAGGGCAGACCCTTCCTGCTCCACTTTGGGGCCCTGTTCCCTGGTTTAGGATGCAGGCTCTGAAGCCAGGCTGCCAGGCCAGCGCCCCTTGCTGGCGGTGTGCCCATCCACGGGCAGGTGACCGACCTCTGTGCCTGGGTTTTCCCCATCCGCAGAGTGGGGTTAGCAGCAGTATCACTGCCCAGGTGGCTGGGAGGAGTTAAGGAAGGCACGCCCTTACGGAGCTCAGAACCAGGCCCGCCCCTAACGGAGCCCCGTAAAACTGAGTTGTTGTGTTGCTGTTGTTGTGATTGCCTGGGACACGCGGTGGCCCAGATGGAGGCGCGGGCGGCAGAGGCAGCTGTGAGAGCTGACGTCAGGCCCTCCACACTCCCTCCCGCCTGGATCAGATTCAGGTGACTAAGCACAGCTATGCGGGAGGCGCCCCGGGGAGGCCCCAGGTTCCTGCCTGTGTCCAGGCGACAGGGCCTGGCGCCCTGTGTGTGAGGGTGTGTGTCAAGTGAGAGAATATGTGCGAGCGGGGCTGTCAGCTCGGGGTGACAGTGTGTGTGTGTCGGGGGGGGTGGGGGGTGGAGGGGGTTCCACACACAGGAGCCCATCTGCCCAGAAACAAAAATCTGTGGCTGTGGTCTGCATGCGGTGGCTAAGCGTGTTCATGTGCACTGTGTGTCTTGAGGTCTTTGCGTACCCATGCCCCAGGATGGGGGGAGGGGGGTGGGCCCTGCACCCGCTGGGCGCCATGGGAACCCGATCTCAGAAAGTCAAGTTGGAACTTCCCATATTCCCACGAAGTCACCTGTCCCCCAGCCCGGGGCTGCCTGCTGGGCTGGGCTGTATGTCTTGGGCAGGACCCACCCCTCTCTGGGAGGTCACCCAGGGCGTTTCTCAGGGCCCTGCCCAAGATGAAACCTCCATAGACACTATAGAAACTGACTCGGCGGCTAGCTAGGAGCCACATGGGCAAAAAAGAAAGACAGACAGGCTGACAGCCAGGCCCAGGGCAGAGCAAGGACTTCTACAGGCATGGGGAGCCTCCTAGGGACCAGCTTGGTCCTGCAGCTGAGAATGGCCAGGCTCAGGCCCTTCCTCACTGAGAAGAGCGATCCCCAGCTGTCCTCCCAGACTGGGACTATGTTGCCCTGGACACTTCATTGAACTTTTGGAGCCTCAGCATGCTCACATGCGAATAGGATAGATAGCCCCTATCCTGTCACCTCCTAGGGCTATGGGAGGAAGTGGATGAGACTGTGGACACTGGAGCAGATGGTGCCTGAGCGATGTGGGGCTAGGATATGTTTATGTCATAGCCACCGAGAGAGAGAGCCTTGTTGTGCATACAAAGTGCAGCCTCAAGGACTTCCCTGGTGGTCCAGTGGTTGAGAATCCACCTGCCAATGCAGGGGACACAGGTTTGATCCCTGGTCGGGGAAGATGCCACATGCCTCAAGGCAACTAGTCCTGTGTACCACAACTACTGAAGCCCGCGCAGCTGTGCTCTGCAACAAGAGAAGCTCATGCACACAACTAGGGAGTAGCCCCTGCTCGCTGGAACTAGAGAAAGCTCACATGTAGCAGCAATGACCCAGTGCAGACAAAAAAGAAAAAAAAAAGTTACTCTTAAAAAAACAAAGACAAACCAAAAAGCCCACAAAGTACAGCCCCATATCTACACCGGCTCCAGGATGGCCTGGCACATTACCCAACTCAGACTTCTCCTTCCAGGCTATGTCCCTCATCCCCACCTCATTCCCAGGTATCTGGCTGCTCCTAAGGGATGCAGGGGGCTTCCCAGGAGGCCTGCCAATGAAGGAGACATAAGAGACTTGGGTTCGATCCCTGGGTCAGGAAGATCCCCTGGAGGAGGGCATGGCAATGCACTCCAGTATTCTTCCCTGGAAAATGCCATGACAGAGGACCCTGGTGGGCTATAGTCCATGGGGTTGCAGAGTCGGACATAACTGAAGAGACTTAGCCCACAGCACACAGGGGATGCAGACCCTGGCTCCAGACCCCACAGGACCAGATCTCCTCTTCAAGATGAACCTCATCACATGGGTCCCTCAGAGGAGGCCCAGAAGAGGACAGAGCAGGCATATCTTGCTCTCATCCACACTGATTCAAGCAACCTCGCCTGGGATGAATGTCTTCAGACCTCGCCCTGAATTCTGGAAGGCCGCTGGGAATCTCAGGGCCAGGTTGAGCAGGGGCCCAGCTACCATCTAGGCAAGACAAGCCATGGCCCTGGTTGCCAGGGGACAGGCCAGAAGGGAAAGCTGTAAGGAGGTGGTCTGGTCCCCTGGGACCAGACATAGAAGATGGCCTTGGTATCCCTGGGCCGCCTCACAGGAGCTGTGTTTATGCTCCTGACAAGTGTCTGGATGGCCCTGGCAACGGGTGGCCTCCGCGGCTCCCGCCTCCGCCTGAGATGACTCAGTCCCCTCGGGGGAGGCCCAGGCGTCTGGTGCCAAGTCATGCTGGAGGATGCCTGCTGCGACAACGCCCCCTCCCACCATCCCCAGGGAGGCCCCAGCCACTGAGGTGGGCTCTGCGCCTAATTCAGCCCAGCAGCCCTCAGCACATCCTCAGCGCCTCCTGCTGAGGTCCTCCAGGCCCTCCCTCCTCCCCCTGCCCCTCCTCATCCTCCGTACCAGGTCCACGCCTCCAGCCCAACTCCTTCCAGCCAGTTGCCTCCTCCCCTCGGTGCTCCCCGGCGACTCGGTTCCAATTCAGCTCAGCATTTCCCTTGAGTCTGCTCTTCCTCCCTTGTCCCCATCACAAAGACGTGCCACCGTCCTCCCAGTTCTCCCAGGCCAGAAGCCCAGCAGCCCTCCTTATCACCCATCGTTTCCCTTGTGCCCATCCTTAACCCCCGAACCTAACCCCACTTACTCTCCATTCTGGCCGCAAGTCCCAAACTGCAGACTCTCTTGTGCTGCCAGCCCTTCGGACAGGCTGTGCCTTATGCCAGGAACACACCTCCCTCTCCTTGGCTGCTAGAGGACAATTCAGACATCTCCTCCCTGATCTCCCCACAGCTGAGTGAGGTCACTAAACCTAAATCCTTAAAAAGTCCAGATCCAGCCCTCCACTTTCCTTCCCCACTATTTCCTCCATACCTGCCATGCACCCCCAGGCTCACACCTCAATCCCACCCCACCCCATCCTCCATACCACTTCCTAGAGGGAATATTGCTAACACGCAAGTTAATTTGGTCTCAGTTCTTCCAGACCTGGCCTTCCAGGATCTTGGAATCTGAAGGACATAAGAGCAGGAGACCACACTCTGAGCAGCAAGGAGACAGGCTCAGAGGCTGGGAAGTAGCCAAGGAACCCAGAGCCATTCATTCACACAACAAAAAACTCAACTGAGCACTTGCCGTATGTGCCCAGGCATGGTGCTAGGTGACAGGAGACAAAGCAGCAAACCACAAAGACAAAGTCCCTGCTTCAGTGAAGTTTAACTTCTAGTGGGACAAGAAGCAACAAACAAGAAAGCTGGGAATTAATAGATGGCATGTCAAGTGGTACATGCAGTGGAGAAAAAAATTACAGTTGTCTGAGAGGAATTAAGAGTGAAGCCCAGGGACTTCCCTGGTGGTCCAGTGGTTAAGGATCCACCAGGCTATGCAGGGGACATGGGTTCCATCCCTGGTCAGGGAACCAAGATCCCACATGCCGCTGAGCAACTAAGACCACGTGCCACAAATAGAGTCCATGAGCTGAAGATCCTGCAAGGAAAGATCCCACATGACTCAAAAAAGATTCCGTGTGCCACAACTAAGACCCAATGCAGCCAGATAAGACGGTGATCACGCTGTCTGAGGAACAGCAAGGAGGCCAATGTTTTTGGAGTGGGGTGTCCATGTGTGAGAGGTACCTGATGGCAAGCATAGTTCCAACCTTGAAGAGAAAGCACAGTCATTCACTGTGCCTGGTCTCAGGGATGGCTTCCTGGAGGAGGTGGCATTTAAGCTCCTGATCGCTGAGTAAGAGTTTCAGAGGAGGTGATGAAAGGTCACACAGTGCATGACAGAGAGCCACTTCCTGGCTGGGATTCAGGGCTTGGCCCTGGGGGTCTTTATGGACTGAGACCAGGAAATCTCGAAAGCCAGAGGAAGGGTCTGAGTAGGGGAGTGACTGCGTTGGATGCGATTTTAAAAAAAGATCCCTCTGCCCTCTGTGGGGACAAAAGAGGCCAAGGAAGAGGCAGGGGTCCCCAGTCTGTGGGCCTAGGATCCAGTCTGGCACTCGGTGGGTGCTCCATCTGTATGCTTTAGAGGGAAGAGTGAGGGATGTGGGGGCGACCAGTGCATCCTCAAGGACACAAGCTGTTTGCTCCTGCAGACTCCCCGGCCCCGTGGCGGATATAAACCCCATATGTGCCCACCGAGACATAGTCCTGTGACCTGGGACATAACCTTCTCTACACACCCCTGTACCCCGAAGACACACATACACACATCACTCCCGGAGCAGGCGCACGCCCATGTCCGCGTGACCCGCCCTCACACACCACTCCATCCAGTAAATGCACCCCCCTCACACACACACAGGCACACTCCTATGCCCACGTGACACACGCACACCCGCCTCCAAACACCACACACAGGTCCCCGAGCACGTGTGCACCCTCCGAGCTACCAGTTCTGCGCCTGTCAGGCCGCAGCCACCGCAGCCTCCACCTCCGCCGCCCCCCTCCGCCCCCGCCCCAGCCAGGAGGACTGCGCAGCGCAGCCGAAGCCACGAGAGCGTTGCATCTGTCCCATTCATCCTCCAGCCCCAGCTCCTGCAGGAAGAGTCGGGGGAGGGCCGTGTGGGCGGAGCGCTCCGCGCAGATCCACACGTGGGTGCCCGGGTCTGGGCCCACTCCGCATAGGCACGGCCTCCCACCAAGAGCAGGGGAGGGGGTAGTGCGCCGGGTGTGGACGCGGTCCCGCAGATCGGAGCTAGGCAAGGGACGCAGACGGCGGAGCGCCCTCGGAGATGCGGTCCTGGGTGCCGGCGCAGACAGATGCAGGCTCCGGGAGGCACCCCAAAGACTGGGCCCCGCAGACCGAAGGGGGAGGATCCCCGCATGGACTAGGTCTGGGCTGTCTTCGTAGACGCAACCTCCCAGACCATCCCTCTCCTCTACAGGCTCCGGGCAGACGATCAGGCGTTCGTCCCCTCCCGCTCCCCCGCCCTTGACCGCCCCCCCCCACCCCCCCCGCGCCAAGCCGACCCCTACCTCAGCACCCAACGACAGTCTCCGCGGCCCTGCGGGCTGCCACGCTCGCTCCCGCGGCGCGCACCCCGCCCCGCCCGCCTTCCCAGGGCCGAGATCACCGAGCTCAGACCCGCCGCGCCGCGGCTCCAGGCTGCGCTCGCTCCTCCGCCAGCTGCCGCGCCCGGCGCGCGCTCATTGGTGGAGCCGTGCGGCCCCCCTCCGGCGCCGCCCAATCAGAGCCCAGGACTCTCGCCCGGCTCCGGAGGGGAGGGGCCGCGGCGGGCGGTGGCTCCAAACGGGCACCTCCCCCTGCGGCGGGACCGGCCTCGTCACGCCCCCATCGCCCTGCTCTAGGCTACTTGGGGTCCCCCGAAATCCTTCCAGGCCGCGGCCTGCGCCCCTTAGCGGGGCCTAGAGGGTATGAGTGCGTCACTACCCTTTGTCCCCCAGCCAACTCGGCCTGGCTGGGGCAAGAGCGCACCCCCCGCACCCGGGGGCGGGGATGAGGCGCAGTGTGTATTAGGGGAGGGACGAAGCGAGATCAGCCACTGGATGGGGCCCAGGCCTAGGGCCAGGGAGAAAGGCCTTGAATGGTAGACTCAGGAGTTTAGCCTTCTGCTGCGTGGGGTGTAGGGGAAACGGGAAGCGGTTCTAACAGAATGCTCCGATCAGAGTCGGGTTCTCACTTGGAGAAGGGACCTATGAGCAGGCAACAGGAATAACCTAGCTGGGGTGGGAGGTCTTGACCTTCGAGGTAGCCCACCTCTTCCCTGGCGAGTTCATCAATTATTAGTTCAATTATGTTCTGCACTTGTATGCCTTCTGGCACCTCACTTCACCACTTATCCAAGACAGAGCCCCATAGCACACCCGCAAACCTAGCCTCTTGCGTCCCTGTCTCAATCTGGAGCCAGAAACCTGGGAGTCTTGATAGCCGACCCCTTTCCTGTTCCAACCAGTAGATCACCAAGCCCTGCCCAATTTACTTATTAAATATTCCTGGAATCCAGCCACTGGTTTCTGCTTCTCTGTCCCTCCCTTATCTCAGATCACTGTCTTCTTGCACCTGAATTGCTAAGGCCACCTCCTCTTGGGACTCCCAGCCCCGGGTAATCTCATCGTCCTCCCCCACCACCCTCACCCACATGGCTTTTCTCCACCTGGTGTCCAGAGCAATATTTCAGAAACACAAATCCAACCGGTCAGCTCCTGCTTAGGAATCTCCCGTGGCTCACCAATACCTTGGGAATAGATCTAATCAGGCCCTCTGTGACATCAGTCCTAACCACCGGCTCTACCCCTTTCAGGGATTGATTCAATGCTCCTCCTACCAGAAACCCTTCCCTGTGACCTCACTGCACAGCATGGGTTAGCAACCCTCCTTAGGGACCTCCTTGGAAGTTTATGGCATCTGTTTACTTGCCTGTTCCCCTCTCTGAACTGTGAGCTCCTTGAGGGCAGGACTGTGCCTGATTCATCCAGCACACAGCTTGACACATTGCATGAAAGATGTTTGTTGAGTGAATAATTAATTTTATATGGCAATCGGGGGACCAGATGTGTGGGGTTGGAGTTCAGGGAAGAGAGCTGGGCCAGTGAGAAGTTTTGAGGAGTTGTCAGGAAGGACCTCTAGTAGAGCCATGGGAAAGGGTGAGACAACTCAGAGCAAATACACAGACAGTTTCAGGGGGAAAAAAAATCTCTGTAGTAGTATAGTGTTAGCCGTTCTGTCGTGTCCGACCCTTTGTGGCCCCATGGGCTGTAGCCCACCAGATTTCTCTGTCCATGGAATTCTCCAGGCAAGAATACTGGAGTAGGTTGCCATTTCCTTCTGGAGGGGATCTTCCCCACCCAGGGATCAAACCCAGGTCTCCTGCACTGCAGGAAGATTCTTTACCATTTGAGCCATCAGGGAAGCCCCAAAAATCTCTGTAGTAGGCAGAATCAGTTCTGACTTACCTAACAGAAATTCCACATAAGAGCCTCAGGGAAAACAGTCCTGAGTTGGTATTGTAAGTAAGGAGTCCCAGAGAAAAAGAACCAAATGTAGCATTTTGGCATAAGAGAAGTCATTTGTGCCCTAAGCGGCTTTTGTGATCCAAGCCTGGCCACAATGCTTGTCTTTGAACTGCTGCTGCTACTGCTAAGTCACTTCAGTGTGTCCGACTCTGTGCGACCCCATCCCTGGGATTCTCCAGGCAAGAAGACTGGAGTGGGTTGCCATTTCCTTCTCCAATGTATAAAAGTGAAAGTGAAGTCTCTCAGTCATGTCCAACTCTTCGCGACCCCATGGACTGCAGCCTACCAGGCTCCTCCATCCATGGGATTTTCTAGGCAAGAATACTGGAGTGGGGTGCCATTGCCTTCTCCCTGTCTTTGAACAGGTCTCAGTAATGAATGAACAGGTCCCAGTAATTAATGATTGTAAAGGAACAAAAGAATGCAAGATCAAACAACTGTTGTCAGGCAAAGAAGTAGCAGCAGCAAAGATGATACATCAGTTGTAAAGACCACCCACCTGTTTCAATGGTAAAGTTTAGCCTGAAGCACTTTCTTGAGTTGTTTTGCAGAATTGAAACCCCATTCAACCACAAGATCCACCGGAACCTAAGGGATGATGCTGAGCTTTTCTGACCCTCCTGTCAACCTTTGCCCCAGTTCTATGATGTGTAAACTCCCCAAGCCTCTTCATGAATAATAAGCATGTGCCCTAAGCTTGAAATTTCCCCAGTTGTGCTGTTCTCAAGAGACACTGTTACAGAGAAAGATCCCCAGTGTTCCCCTTACTTGCGACAAGTAACAAATCCTTCCTTCTCTCACTCTTTGGCTTGGTTGTGTCTTTTCGCTGGACACCCACTACAAGGTAAACCTAGTTTGGGGGCAACAGTTCTGCTCCAGCTTTGCTCCACGAAGCCCCCCCAGATGTGACTGTTTCCACTCACTGCTCCAGCAACCTCTGGATTTGACTCTTGTCCTCATGATTCAAGATGATGGCTAGAGTTCCAACCATCACATACGCATTCCAGGCAGTGAGATGGAGACAAAGATAAAGAAGAGGGCAAAGGATCTACCAGCTTTCTTTTAATGAAAGTTCCCAGAAGTTGTCACATGACACTTCTACAAACATCCAGTTAGCTGTAACTTAGTCACATGACCAGAGCCAGCTGCAAGAGGTGTCTGAGAAATGCAGCTTCTAGGCAGACTCATACCCAACCAAGAACCAAAGGCTGTATCGCTGTAGAGACTACATATCTGGGGATGGCTTGCTGACTCCACCATTGACAGAGAGGATAGATGGAGGGGCAGAGCACTGCTGTGTACCAGGCTAGGTACTTTACATATCTTATCTTAGCCCAACCTGAGTAGAGGCTATTATTATCCCTGACTCACAGAGGAGGCTTGGAGAATTAAACAACTTGCCCAAGGACAAATAGTGGCAGAGTTGCAATTCAAAACTATCTTTTCCCTATATACCAGGCTGGCTAGGAAAATCAGGGGAGGGTGGGACCTAGGAGTTGCTGAAAGGAAATCTTTCAACAAAGGAGGGCTTGGCCAACAGTGTCAGAGACTGACAGGCCAAGCAGGATATGGGCTGAAGTGTCCTCTTGGATGTGGCAACAAGGGCACTGCTGGTAACCTTGGCAAGGGCATCTAGAAAGGTGGTAGGGGTGGGAGGCCAATCGTAGAGGGAGGGATGCAGAGGGAATATGTGTAGACTGGTCTTTCCGGAATGGTGTTGGCAGTGAAGGGAGGGCGGGCCAAGTAGCAGGGAAACATGGGCAAGAAGGAGGTGGAAGAGGGGAGCAGACACAGGAGTGGGAGAGAGAGGAGAGACAGCCTTCGGTGGAAGGTCTCCAGGCTGGGTGAGATTTGGAAATCAAGAAGGAATCCTCTGCTCGCTCAGGAGGGAAGGACAGGAGGTGCAAAACCGGGTAGATCCAGAGAAGGAAGGGAGGGAAGAAGAGGGAAAGTTCCTGCTTTGTAAAATCTGAGACAGGGCTCTTGGCTAGGGAAGAGGGCAGAAGGCCAAGGGCCTGAGGGCAAGGGGTGGGACTAGCCTATGCTGTCCAATATGGTAGCCAGTAGCCACATATGGCGATTTAAATTAATGCAAATAAAATTAAAAATCCAGTTCCTTGGTTGCATGAGCCACATTTTAAATACTTAATGGCCACATGTGAATACAACATTGGGCAGCACAGATAGAAAACGTTCTGTCACTGGTGTTGGACAATGCTGGTCTAGACAGGGCATGGTGATGGGGGTGCCCAGAGACCCCATGTGGCCGGAGGGTCATGCCCAGGTGCCTGGAGACCCCTTCCATACTGTCTGCATTCAAGACCTGCCTCTCCTCTTTGGGACTCCAGCACAACTTTCTGCTAGGACAGCCAGCCCCTTCTTCAGCCCAGCTTTCATGAGGCCACACCTGGGATCTCTGCTTGTCCCAGTGCTAGGCCTTTATAAACCGGGGGAAGGGGCGTGTGGAAGACTGGGAAGAGCGCCAATGTTTGGGGCTGTGCCAGGACAGTGGCCCATGGATAAAGGTGAACCGATTCCCAGCACTGCCTCTGCGGGGCTCAGGACTTAAGGGTCAGCTCACCACCTCCACGGAGAGATCCAGAAGGACCTCAACGATCACTCAGCTCGGCCCTGAGTTTCACAGCTGGGAACGCTGAGTTTCAGAGAAGGCGGGAAAGAAAAGGCAGAAGGCAGAGGTTTGAACTCATTCACCATTCCTTTTATTATCCTCCACCCCTTGATTTCTCAGACCTTGTGTTAATAGAGCTGGGCAGGCCTCGGGATCCGAGGCTGGGTCACAGGCAGAGAGCCCAGGGTTTGGCTGAGGCTCCCACCCTGACCAGAGGTAGCTGAGTAAGGATCCATCACTAAGAAGGGCCGTCCTGGCCTCACACACTTGAGGATAACACATCCCCCTGGAGGCGACGAGGCGTGGACCATAAGTCTGTGCCTGGGGGTGTAGGTGTGTTCAGATGGTTGTGTTTGCAGGGCCCAAGCTGTTCAAACACACAGTGTGGATGGGAGGAGGGTGTGCATGTGGGTAAGTGCATGTGTGTGTGTGTGCATGAGACACTGTGTGGCTTGTGAGCACACTACACACCTGCTAAAGGCCTGCACCTGCCAGGTGATGCTGGCTGCAAGGAAGCAGTTCTAAAACTTAGGTCCTGAAGGGATATGCTATCCTTGGAGACCATGTGACCAGCCCGGGGAATTCTGGTTCAGGAGATCTGGGGTGTGCCCAGATTCTGGCACTGTTTTTTGATTTCTTTGTTTGTTTTTGGCCTCATGGCTTGTGGGATCCTAGCTCCCTAACCAGGGGATCATGCCCTGGCCAT